TGGGCCGACAGAGAGGACCTGCGCAGCTTCCCTTCGGCGCCTGAGCCAGGACCCTTTGGTTCACCGAGCCCTGCGGCCCTGGCACTGCTGTCCTCTGCCGCCTCTCTGACCCGCTCGTCCCCAAGGGAGGCTGTACACCAGCTCACCTCAGCACCCTGCAGGCCCTGCCACTTCACCCGAGGGTCCCTCCTGCTGCCTGTCAAGTGTGTGTTGACAGGTGGGATGTCCCTGGTGCTTTCAAAGTGGGAATCCACCTGCTGACTTGGGTGCCCGTCCAGGGGACACGGCCAGCCGAGAACACAGAGCCCTGAGCTTTCCTGGAGAGGCTCAGGTGAGGGCAGAGCAGACAGACAAGCCTGTCTGTGAACCAGACTGTGGACAAGCACACGGCCGGGGGACCCCGGGCTGAGGACTCGGCCGGAGCCGCACTGACAGAAAAAAAGTCTGTCCTACGGACAAAGAACATGTCTTTGAGGAACTAGACACGGCACCAGAGGGAGACTTCCAAGAGAGAAAATACTGTCACTAAAAATATCCCTTTGCACAGCTCTGCCAAGGAACCCCACCTGGGCTAGGCCCTGGACGGCAGGCCGCTCCAGGCCCCTCGGGGGCAATTCTTCCCTCCAGGGCTGCCCGCCCTGGGGGCCCCAGCAAAGGTAAGCGCCAGGCAAGCCCACTTTCAGCTGCATTTCAGAAATGCGACTGTTCCCTCAGGGCAGAACCCCCAGTGGAGGGAGGCAGAGCCAGTCTGAACCTGAGCTCACGCTGCACAGGACCCATCCCAGCATGGGCAGCGGGCCCTGAGGGGCTGACCAGAGCCCCTGGAGAGGCCTGGCTGTGGACCACCCGCGGCTGGGCTCCCACGCCCACCATGTCCAGCCCACCATCCGGGTGGTCACCCAACCGGTCAGGTTCCCTGGAACCGGTCCTCCGCCTGTCTTCACCGGCTGCCCCACCGCCCACCTGGCCTCCAGCCATCTCACACCCGCCACCACACCAGTCCCCCGCCCCCGGAAGCCCAGCGGTTTCAGGGTGCGCACTCTGACCGCCGCCACGTTTCCACTCACTGCTCCCCACTTCCCTAGAGGGCATCCTCCCCCCGCCCGTGACTCGGTTGACCTCCAAGGACAGGGCAGTGGCGAGTGCACTGAGCACCACGGCTGGGTCCTCCCGATGGGCCGGCTTCTCTGGGACAGAGGGTCCAGACCAGCATCTACTGGGCGGCAACGGTGGTCTGGTGCGGGCGGGCAGCACAGCGACCACGGCCGCTGGGAGGTGGACAATCACATTCGCAGGCTCAGGCCGCGGCCCAGGTCCCGCCAGGCGGGAGGTGCAGAGCCGATGGGCCGACGCCCCGGGCCGCCGCGTCCAGGAAGCCCTCCGTCCTGGCCGCGGGCGGAGCGGAGGGCGTGGCCGGCCGGGGCTGGCGGCCTACCAGCTGGGTGACCTCCCGCCCCCGGTCCTCGGCGGTGACCGCGGGGTGCGGGGAGCGGGGCAGGGAGGCGCAGGCGAGTGCGGGGCGGGGGCTCCCTGCGCCGCGGGAGACGCGGAGGCTTTGCCCAGAGGCCGGCGGCGGTTCCGAGCCCCCGACAGCTCGTCGAAACTCCCGCCAAACGGCCACCGTCCGACAGCACGGCCTGCAGGGCTGGGTTCCGGGCGGCCGCCAAGGCTTCCCGCGGCCAGTGCTGGGGCTGCCGCCCGTCCACATCCCAGGCCCCGACACTGGGCCCCGCATCTGCCTCCGGACGGGACAGCCACCTCCTCGGCGGCCGGACAGGCCCCACGGCGCGGCTCCCCCTCCGCAGGCTGGACTACGAGGCCCAGCATGCCCCGCTCCGGCCGCGCGGCGCCTGCCGGGAGCTGAAGTCCGGCCTCCGCGACGAGCGTGCACACCGGCGGCGCGAGGACTACAAGGACCGTCAGACCCTGCGCGCCGGCAGCCCGCGGACTACGAGGCCCGGCAGGCCGTGCGCGCCGGCGGCCCGCGCCCCGCCCTTCGTCCTTGCCACCGCCCCCGGCCCGCCAAGCCAGCCGCCCGCGCCCACGCCCGCTGCGCGCCGCCCCGCTCCCCGCGCCCGGCCGCCGCTACCGATGTCTATGGCGAAGTGCTTGGCGTTCTCCAGGTTGCGGAAGATCTCGTCGGGGGGCAGCGTGATGCTCTTGTCCAGGCTGTCCCCGCTGCTCCCGCTGCCGCTCGTTCCACGCTCCGCCATTTTGAATGTGCCCGGCCAGCCTCATCAGCCATGGAGATATATGCGCATATATTTGACTGCTAAACACCTCCCGCGCATAGATTATGCTAATGAGGCATCTGGGCCGGCCCCGCCCCTCCCGCCTCCTGGGTCCAGGCCGATGGAGGGCCGACTGGGGCCGGCCCGGGCGGGGGTCCCAGAGGCCCGGTCCGGAAGGGAGCCCAACACAAAACCTCTGCACTGTTGTCTTTGTTCTTTCACAGAGCTGGCCGGGTGCTGGCCTCAAGTGCTCTGAGCTGGGGTAGGGGGACACCTGGGGCTTGCTGATCCGCAGAGACCTGCCTCTCTCAGTGAGTCCGGCTGTAAGCCTGGCACCTGGCACCTGGCACGTGTGACCCATCGCCTAGGTCTCCAGGGATGCTGGGCTGTCGATGCCAACAGTCCCGTGCCAGACAGGTGTTGAGGACCCTGCCCTCGAGGCGCCCCCAGTGCAGGATGGCAGATGCACCTGCCACGGGAAGATGTGTGCTTTGATGGCCCGATCTGCAGAGTGCAAGGGAGCCTGCCTGGAGGAGGCTGCCTTCTGGCAAAAGGGGGATCTATGGGCATTTGCAAGGAACAAGCCCAGAAAGCTCAAAGAGCTGGAGCAGTGACACAGGTGGTGGTGTGGACAGGGTTCCAGGGCCAGTCGCTGAGAAGCCCGCACTAGCTTGGGGACCCTTAACGGATGTGTCCCTTCAGAGACATTGGGTGCTTTGGGAAAGGACCCAGTGTTGGAAGCAGACACAGGGCCCCAGGTGACCCTAGGTTGGTAACTTCATTCCTCTGGACCGTAGCCACCTCCCGAGCATGCCAGAAGCTGGGCAGGCAGGGCAGTGGAGCACAGGCCTGCGGAGCAGCGGAAAGAGCTCCGGGGCTGATTCACAGGAGGGGCGTGAGTCAGCGCATGGGGTGGCGGGGTGGGCAGCAAGTGTCTTCCAAGGGGGTGGGAGTGCGGCTCTAGGTGGGGAGGCCTGGGGTGGAAGAGTGCAGAGGGTCTCCTCCTCCGGAGCTTCTCCAGCATCCAGAACCCTGAGCAGTGGGGCGCCTGTGGGCCGTCCTGGCCAGGAGGCACACACCACCCCATTGATTGATGTCCCTGCTGTATATACTGTGAACGCTTGAGATGGAGGAGGTGGAGGCTCCCTGTCCTCTGCTCACCACTCCAGGGACTCCACAGGGACCCCGGAGGCCACTGGCAGACACTGGGCTGGCCTGGAGGGGTCTGTTGGACAGTCCGTGCAGAGAGGGCGGAAAGGGATGGAAGGTGGAGGGGAGAGAAGTTCAGAGCCCAAAGGAGGGAGGGCAGGGCTGGGCCCTGCATCTCTGAAAATAATTCCCTGTTGTCCCCTGTCCAGCTCCTTCCACTCCCCACAGGGTGGATCTTGCCCCTTGGCAAGCCAGGGTGCCTCTATTTCTTGCAAACTCAACCATCACCCTGCAGCCTGCCTAAAAATAGGTGCCCTTTTCGAGGTGAGGGACTGCCCTTGGCAGGTTATCACCAGCACTGCTTGTTCCGGTCCTGGTGCGCAGCCAGCCCGCGGGGAGGGCAGGGAAGCCACCTGTGGGCCGGCCAAGCAGGTGCCCCCAGGAGCTTGTGCAGAGATGGGTGCTGCCGGCCATTCGGGAAGGGTCAGGTTGGGGAAGAACATTTTCCCTGTATGTCTGGCCCAGCTAAATCCCTTTTGTTGCCGCGAGAGCTCCAGTGCAGGCCTTCGGTCCCTCAGCCGGACAGAACTGAAGGTCCCGCAGCTGTCACTTTACCCCTCCCCTTCAGGGAGCTAGTGAGAGGCCTGGGGTAGAGATCCCACCCCCTGCACACCGGGTAGTGTGTGATCCAAGGCTGCCTGCTTCTCACTCCGCTTCCCTCCCCGCCAGCTTCTCCCCAGCCTCCGTCCTTCCTTCCTGCCCTCCCGGGACCCAGCCCTTCCTCCCGTGTCCAGAGGGTCCCACCCACGGTTGCACACATGATAGTGCCCCCTCTCCTTCACCCCGGGAGCCCCGGCTGCCTGGTGGCTGCCGAGGACACTTGTGAGGCACAAGAGACAGACGTGGAGGACGGAATAGTCAGGTTTTATTGGAAGTCTGCAGAACAGCTGTGTGGCTCCCATGTGACCGAGTTCAGATTCTGAGTACAGAGTCAAGCCCCCACGCACCCACCCACGCAGGAATCCTTTAAGGATCATGGTGGAGACCCCCGCCCTCCCCACACAGCCCACTGTGAGCCCCTACCAGACAACCAAGCCCACGCGGTGGCCCGTGGGCCTGGGCTCCGCGAGCAGCTTCCTCGCCCTTCCAGGCTGACACTCTTTCCTATGAGGAGGCACCTTGAGTAACGCCTTCACAAAAGGCAAATGTGCCCACGGCAGGCACGCCCGCTGGCCGGACCCACGCCCGGCAGCAACAGGCCCTGAAGAACGTCCTCGTACAAGCAGGGGCACCGAGCCCCCAATGCCTACAAACGTCATAGAACCCCGGGCAGCGGGGACTTCGCAGAAGTCACTTGCTGAAATGCAAACACAGAACAACCCCATGGGGTCAGACACTTGGCAGAAGGTGGGCCCTGACTGTCCTAAATGACAAGGGCTCTGCGCACACATTCTCAGAATGACCCTACCGCTGGCCCGCCAGCCTGGAGCGGACCTTCAGAGAGAAGGGGCCGTCCAAGCCCCGGGCGAGGCAGATAGCGGGGAAGCGCTTCCGCACGCACCAGGGGAACGAACGGCCGGCCCTCTGGTCCCGGGGCAGCAGCCCGCACGTCCCGCCAGGTCACCAGGGCCGCCAGAGGCCACAGGAGGGCTGGTGCGCCGCGGCGTTGGCCTTGGCCGGGGTGGGCGCCGACGCCTGGGGCTCCTTGGTGGGGGCGCCGGGCGCGGCCGAGGGTCGTTGAAAGTGGTAGAGCAGCTTCGTCTGCGTGTCGCTGGCCGCGTGCAGCGTCAGGAACTGCACGGCCTCCTGCAGGCACCACGAGTAGCCCTCGCTGTAGTCCTGGTGCAGGCTCTTGGGGCCGGCGGCAGCGGCGAAGGCTGTGGGGAGACGGGCGGCGGTGAGCACGGCGGGGCGCGGGGCGCGGGGCGCGGGGCGCGGGGCGCGGGGCGCGGGGCGGCCGGGGCGGGCAGGCTCACCTTTGCTGTGCTTCAGATAGCTGACGGCCATCTCCAGGATGTCGGCCTTCTCCAGCTTGGAGTTGGGCTGGTGCCGCGCGAACTCTTGCTCCAGCAACAGCTTCAGCTGCTCGATGCTGCTGTTGATGCGGTCGCGGCGCATCTTCTCCACCACGGGCTTCCGCAGCTGCGGGGGCAGGGGCGTCAGGAGGGCCGCGGGACGGCGCGGGGGGCGCGGGGGCGGCGCGCGGCGGGCTGCGCACTTACTCGGTTTTTCTCTTTGGGGCTGAGCAGCTCCACGGCCACGGGGCTGGGGGCCATGCCTGCGCGGAGAGAGGCGGTCGGCGAGCAGGGAGCGGCGGGCGGGCGGCCAGGCGCGTCCGGGGGGCGCGGGCCGGCCCCTATATAGGCGCGGGCGGCGGGCTGGCGCCTGGGGCCCGGGCGCCGCGGCCGTTCCCACACTCGGCGGCCAATGGCGGCGCGGGCCGCACAAAGGCGCCGGCCCATCAGCGCACGCTAAATTGCCCGTGAATTGGCGCGGGCACAATGGGTGCTCCCCGAAGAGCAGGTGGGCCGCGCGGCACAATGTCCGGGCTGTGGGAACGCGCTCGCCCTCATTAGCATCCCGGGCCTGATGCTGGGAGCCCCGCGCCTCAATATGCTGCCTTTTCCCAGGCCGCGGGGACGAGGAGGGGGGCAGGAAGGAACGACCCTCCCCTCCCCCTCCCTCTTTCCCTCTCCTCCTCCCCTCCCCCGCTACTCCCTGCGGCTGGCTGACGGAGGCCACAGCGAGAAGGGAAGAGCTTCAGGATGAACAAATGCAGCGGCTTCCAGAGCGGCGGGCACCCTCCCTCACAGGTCCTTGCTGCCCCCGGGGGCGCAGGACCAGAGGAGGCCACACCTCTGCGTAGGCGCCTCCATCTGCGCCCAGGTGGAAGAAGGGCCCACACTCTTAGGCTCACACCTACTGGCCCCTGGCGAGTCCCCAGGATGCCGCCTGGGACCTCATCAGAGGTAGCACGTGGGCTGCTGTGCCTCCCTGGCTGGGCTTTGGGGAGCTCCAGGGAGCCAGAGCATGTGAAATGCCCGGCACAGAGACTGGCACCTAGGCCCCCCGCCCCCCAGCCATTGCACCCCAGGGAGCAGCTTATGTTGCAGTAGCATCTCAGGTGCTGTGAACCGGCAGGTGCCCTGGCCCCCCCCCATCTCATCTGGTGGGAGTCTGACCCTGGTCGGCTGCAGAGCACAGGGGGGCACAGGCGCCTGTTCACAGCTTATGCACCCACAGCCTGGTGGGCACTGGTGGCGTTAGCACTTGGACATTTTGAGGGTGGGGGTGCCAGGAGGCAGAAATCAGGGTCAGAGCAAGGCAGGCCTGGAGCCCACACAAATGCTGTACCAGCTCGACGGGCCCGCTAGGAACCCACTGAAAAACTGACCATCCTGGTACCTGGTCAGCTGGGGAACAGTGGCTGCTCTGGGGCACCAGCCCCACCCTGGGCTCCTAGGAGAGGGCCTGCTGGGAGCTCCCCTCTGCCCAGGACAATCACCCTCCTTTGAGTCTCCACAGCCAGGAGTCCAGCTGTCCTGGAGGGACTGAGAGAGGGGCAGAGCTGTGACCTGGGCTACCTCCAAGCAGCAGGGCGGGACCAGCTAGGCCAAGAGGGAAGGCAGGGCCTCAGATCTGGGAGCCACGGCTGGTATCAGGGCGTGTTAGCCAGATGTTAAATCCAGGAGCACGGCTCCCCGGACGGCAGCCCGCCTGAGTGTGGCTGGAACTTCAGAGCCTTGACAAGGTCCAGTCAGGCCCTCCCCCTCCTGGGTCTTGGCAGGGACCCACCGCTACGAGCAGAAGTGCACCCCCCACTGTATACAAGGAGCCTTTGGTTACCCGGTGAAGGACCCATCAGGAAGCAGGCAGGATGGCGTTGGGACAGCCAGGGCAGGCTTGGCTGGGAGCCAGCCCAGCATGGCCCCACAGGCCAGCTGGTCACCCATTGGGATGAGTCAGGCTGGAGGGTTCCCAGGGTGGAAGCTTCAGGTGGCGTTGGAGGAGGAAAGGCAGCCCCTAGTCACCCTCTGGTACTTGGTCCTTCCACTCCTTCCCCCCACCTACACCTCTGGAAGAAGACACTGTTCCTGGGCTGGCTGTGGGCGGAGGAGGCCCTGCTGCGAGCGAGCGGGCGGGCTCTTCCCTGAGCAGGTGGCACCTACCGCAGTATCTGGCCCTTGTTTGACGCCAAAGGGCAGAAGGCACCAGCTGCTGAGGTCACATGCTCACCCCTCTGCTCCACAGCCCGGGGCACCAACAGCGGCTGGCACCATCGATGTGGGCGGCAGGTCCTGCAGGCTGCAGTGGGAACCCAGTGGTGCCCAGTGGAGCCATTTTTGCAACCAAATTGGGGCTTGTGTTGGGTGTGTCGCTGGGGCGGGGGTCGGGGGGCAGGGCAACCTAGTTGACCACGTCCCTGTCATCTGCATCCTGCCCACTGGGGCCTGGCACCCAGGAAGTGCTTAGCCAAGGGAACAGAGGGCAACCCCCAGCCCACTCTGGCCCTGGCTACAGCCTCCACCAACTGGAAACGGCCTGAGCCCACGTGCGGCCTGACGGCTGGGCGGCTGGCTGTGGGGGCCCCAGGGCTCTGCTCGGAGGGGAGGGCAGCACCCAGGTGGCCCCCCACCCACCCAGCTTCAGAGGCGGCAGTTGGCTGGGGCTTGTGTCCTGCCCGGGCTCCCTCTTCCAAGCCAGCTCTCGGCCCAAATGAGACACGTGCCAGGAGTCGTGGTCCAACCCCCACTCCATCCCAAGTGCTCGCCACCCGCAGTGGCCAGGGTGGCCAGCCCAGGCGAGGGTGGGCCCCGGCACGGCCCCCCTCCCCCGCCCGGCGCGGCTTTGATCCAATGTTCAGTTGTGGGAAATATGAAATGAATGGTGTTAAATCTCTGCCTGACGACGAAAGGTTGGCTCCCTCCCCGAGTGCAGGCCAGATGGCAGCTGGGAGCCTCGGAGGCACACGCCTGGCCTTTGTGGGCCGTTTGACACTGTGAATGGGGCCAAAGTGTGGGAAACTCGCTGGGCTCCCGGCTCCCGCCATCCAAGGTGAGTGGCTGCACAGCTGGGGGGAGGGGCTGCCGAGGGGGAGGGGAGGGAGGGCTGAAGGCCCGCTCCGGGCTGGCGGGCTTTGCACAGACGCACCCGGAATGTGTGTGGGGGGTCAGACCCTCTGCCCCCAGCAGCTGGAGAGGGTCCTTCCTCCAGCTGAGGCTCTGAGGAGGAGGGGGAGTTTGTCCTGCCCCCACCCCCAGCTCAGTGGGCTCGAGAGGCCGGCTGGTGGGGGGAGTGTTTGGAGTTAATGCTCCCCGAGAAACAGCCACTTTTAGGCGAGCCCTGTGCTGCAGACCCTGAGCCGGGCGTCACTGTGCTAGAGTCCAGGAACCCAAGACCATAGCCCGGCTCTAAATGACCGCACCCCACACCACCCCTCCCAGGCTGCCTGCAAAGCAGAGGGCGCCACAGGGGCGCGCATTCGTGCCTGTGCCAGGCGGGGACTTGGGAATGCAGACGGTGCGGCCGCTGGGGACACAGTGCGGAGACCCCCCCAAAATCAAACACGGAATGGCCCTAGGCTCCAGAGGCCCCGCTTCTGGGTGCGCCCCCGAAGGGACGGAAAGCGGGGTCTCCAACGCTCACGGCAGCATTACTCACACTCACCAACAGGTGGCAGCAGCCCAGTGTCCACGGATGGACCGACGGGCCGCAGACAGCGTGGTCCGTCCACACTCCGGAGCATTATCCAGCCTTAGAACGGCAGGCAGCTCCGAGACACTGCGACGCGGGTGGACCCAGGGCCGTCTGCTCCGTGAAATAAACCGGACTCGGAAGGACAACCGCTGTGACCCGCTCAGGAGTCCCTGGAGGGGTCAGAGTCAGACCCGGGGAGTAGGCGGTGGGGCCGGGGCAGAGGGAGCGGCGGGGGGAGAGCTTAGTGGGGATGGAGTGGTGGCTGGGAAGATGGAAAGTTCTGGAAAGGCTGGTGGTGACAACCACACAATAACGTCCCTGAGCTGTGCACTTAACAGTGGTTAGGGTGGTACATTTTATGTGTATTTCACCATAATAAAAAAAAGGTGGGGGGCTGTCCTGGCACGTACGGCTCAGTTGGTTGGAGTATCGTCCTGTGCACTGGAAGGTTGCGGGTTCGATCCTCAGTCAGGGCAGGTACCTAGGCTTGGGTTTGATCCTTGGTCATGGTGTGGATGAGACACACATAAGAGGCAACCAAGCCCTGGCCGGTTTGGCTCAGCGGTTGGAGCGTCGGCCTGCGGTCCAGAGAGACCTGGGTTCGGTTCCCACTAAGGGCACGTACCTCGGTTGTAGTTTGTCCCCGGCCCTGGTTGGTCGTGCGGGTGGCAGCCACTCGATGTGTCCCTTCACATCGATGTTTTTCTCTCTCTCTCTTCCTCTCTCTCCCTCCTGCTCTATCTGAACAAAAAATGGAAAAATGTCCTCGGGTGAGGATAAAAAAAAAAAAAGAGGCAACCATTCATTCGATGCATCTCTCACATTGATGTTCCTCTCTCTCTCCCTTTTTTCCTCTCCAAAATAAATAAATAAATAAGTAAATAAATGTGTGTGCATATACATACTTTTTTTAGAAAGGACTTCTTGGAGACTAGCACATGCACTCTCCCCAGCCGGGCAGCCGGGTCTCTAGCTGCCATCGGCACAGGACTTCCCAGCGGCTGGCACGCAGGACTGGCCTGGAGGGGACACTGCCTGCCCAGCCTGCCTCTGCCCAGATCCACCCCAGACCTGGGAGAGATTCTCTGGGAAAGGCTGTGCCCTCGGCAAGGTCCTCAGAAGCACCAGCTGCCCCCCATTTGGATGTTCCTGGTCCCAAAGGGGTTTCCAGCACGGGGGGGAGGGGAGTTGGCAGGCTGGCGAGGGTCAGGAGTGAGGCTGGCCTTCTGGGGAAGGAGGGACAGGGACACCCCCAGGGGCACATGTCCCAAGTCCACACCAGCATATGGACCCCGGGCTGTGCCTGGCAGTGAGGCGTGCCCCCCGCAGCCTGTCCAAAGGCAACCTGTCGCAGCCCTGGCCTCCAGGGACTCCCAGTGGGGCCCCAGGCCACCCCTCCACCTGCCGGGCCACCTGCTGTGGCTCTGGACCAGCACCCAGCCTGCAGGGAGGCAGAGGGACGTGGCCAGATGAGGTGCTGCCCAGTCTCCACCCCAGCCAGCCAGGACCCCTGGGGGCATTGGAGGGGTGGTCTGGCTGTCTGGAGGGGACAGGGCATGAGCGGTGCTGGGTCTGCCTGGGGTTA